AGAACACATCCCTGTTTGACACCTGATTCCACCTTAAATGGGTCACTTTGGGAGCCTTTGGGATGCACTAAAGGTGCATCTATAATTCTATACTATGTAATAAATGCGGTTTTATCCCACATCAACTGCCATGGTTCGGTGCTATGGAATTGTGGGATTTGTAGTTTGGATTACTTTTTGGGTTTTCACTTTGCTAGCTGGGGGATTTGGGGAATATTAATCCAGAGAGAAGAGCATGCTGGGAAGGACAAGAGTTGCAATTTTCTCACCATTTTGCACACTTTACTGAGGCTCAATAATGATGATGATGATGATGATGATGATGATGATGATGATGATGATGATGATGATGATAGTAGTGGGCTTTCCCTATTAACGGACCCCTGCCTCCCTCTTTCTCTCCAGTGCAGGATGGACTGCAAGGACGTTTCGGCGGAGACCCTCTATGATGTCTTGCATGACATTGAATACAGGAAAAAGTGGGACACCAACGTCATTGAGACCTTCGACATTGGAAAGCTGACCGTCAACGCCGATGTTGGCTACTATTCCTGTGAGTCACTTGCCTTGGGAAACTATAATTTCCATGCATCCATAGCACGGAGCCATTGTCAGGAGTCAATTTCTGATGGCATGAAGACATCACAAATTCCCTTCGTGACATCCTGACTGAATCATCCTGGCTGAATCAATTCTCTCTCTGTGACATTTTGAAGCCAGCAGAGGGTGCTGGAAATATTGTACTGGAACTTGTGAAGCAACAAGTTCTAATCAGGAAACTGTGAAGAGGAGAAGATGGGCAGGAAAGGTGTATAAAAGGAAGTGGTGGTGGGAAAAACTCAGTAGTGTCTTTCTTTGCTGCAGAGATACAAGCAATATATCCATTTCAAAGCAAAACCGGCTTGTGAGTGGTCATTTAATATTGCTATATAGAACCTACAGGCTTACAGCCATAGCCGTTCATGTGCGGTTGAAACTGCATGTACAATACAGTGGAGACGACGTTTTAAATGCGTCTGAATTAATTGGAATGGCGGAGGATTAATTCTGACTGTCCTTGCAAAACAGGAACACAGTTGGAGTGTACAGTATTGTACTCCTCAAAAAGTTCTAATTAGGCCTATGCAATCAATGAAAAATAAACATTTCAATACTCATTACAAAATTAGGGGGTGGGAGGAAAATTATTTACGAAATTGGCAGGATCTGTATCGTAATTAGAATGAGTTAACTACTTGCTTAAGCAGCTGAGGGGGAAAAGGAAGGGGCCTGAGGCCAGGAATTGTGGGAGTTGAAGTCCAAAACACCTGGAGGGCCAAGGTTTACCCATACCTGATCTACACTGTGGAATTGATGCAGTTAAAAGGTAAGTCCAGTCATGTCTAACTCTGGGACATGACTAAGCCGAAGAGCCGGCATTGTCCGTAGACACCTCCAAGGTCACGTGGCCGGCATGACTGCATAGAGTGCTGTTACCTTCCCACCGGAGCGGTACCTATTGATCTACTCACATTTGCATGTTTTCGAACTGCACGGTGGGCAGAAGCTGGGGCTGACAGCAGAAGCTCATGCCGCTCCCCGGATTTGAACCTGCAATCTTTTGGTCAATAAGCTCAGCAGGTCAGCGGTTTAACCCACTGCTTGTCCTTCCACAGGGCGGTGTCCGAAACCCTTGAAGAACCGAGACGTCATCACGCTGCGCTCTTGGCTGCCCATGGGCAACGACTACATCATCATGAACTACTCCGTCAAGCATCCGGTGAGTAGCGGAGAAGGAGCACATTTTGCTATAGTTTTTCAATGAATATCTGTTGCGATCCAGAGCAGGAAACGAGACCATAAGATAACAATCCACCACACTTGACTGTGGGAAAAAACCAATCCCTTTTTATTGATGAAAAATGGTTACAAAATAGAGAAAAATGCAAAGTCAAAAAGCCATAGTAAAATTCAGCAGTCAGGAATATCCATGAACTAGGTCCAAATTCCAAAAGCAACACTGTAAAAACCTGGAACCTGTTAGCAAATCACTAACCGTACTTGGAGCACTAAAAGCCTCTTGGGATGTAGGCCACGGGAAACAGGGAAATCTGCCAAGGTAATGCCTCAGTCTAAACCAGTGTTTCTCAACCTTCCTAATGCCGCGACCCCTTAGTACAGGTCCTCCTGTGTGGTGACCCCCAACCATAACGTTATTTTCGTTGCTACTTCATAACTGTAATTTTGCTACTGTTATGAATCGTAATATAAATATCTGATATGCAGGATGTATTTTCAGTCACTGGACCAAATTTGGGACAAATACCCAAAACGCCCAAATTTGAATACTGGTGGGGTTGGGGGTGATTGATTTTTGTCATTTGGTAATGCTGGAGTTGCTGGGATTTATAGTTCACCTAAAATCAAAGAGCCTTCTGAACTCCATGAATGATGGAATTGAATCAAACATGGCACACAGAATTCTCATGACCAAGAGAAAATACTGGGAAGATCTGGTGGACATTGACCTTGGGTTTTGGAGTTGTAGTTCACCTACATCCAGAGAACACTGTGGACTCAAGCAATGATAGATCTGGATCAAACTTGGCACAAATACTCAATATGCCCAAATGTTAACACTGGTTGAGTTTGGAGAAAATAGACCTTGCCATTTGGGAATTGTAGTTGTTGGGATTTATAGTTCATCCCACCAACGATAGAATTGGACCAAACTTTCCACACAGAAACCCCATGACCAACAGAAAATACTATGTTTTCTGATGGTCATTGGCGACCCCTTTGACACCCCTCGCGACCCCCACAGGGATCCCGACCCCCAGGTTGAGAAACACTGGTCTAAACGATGCCTGATCTAACGAGGCAACCCGGCGAGAGGCACTTAAAACTGAAGAAACTGTTTCGTGACACGCCTCCAGGCTTTGAAGCCTGAGCTTCCTTTTCCCTTAATCTGCTTGACCTTCGTAGACTCTGCGATCCACTCCTGTTTTTCCAAATCTGTCCTCTTCTATCCTCATTAAGGAAGCCAGGTGCTATCTCCTCTGGAGAGTTATCACCGCTTGGCTCTGCAACATTCTCATTAGAATGTGTAGTTTTGCTTTCCAAGCCACTGACCTCAGGGAGAAATACATTTTCAATAGCATCAGGAAATACAATCAGAGAATCAGGTTCAGGTTCACACGCAGGCTGAACCCCAACAATATCTCATTGAGTCTCAACCAATTTAGCATAGTTTCGTGCCACAAAAACAAAGTTTCTGGAATATAACAGCTACTTTCCAAGTAAGGACCACACAATTAAATAGGAAATAACACTTTCAAACCAGGAACAGAACATTTTTCAAACTTTATAGGATTTTTTAAATTCAATCAATCTCTTTTCAGAAATACCCTCCTCGGAAGGACATGGTGAGAGCCGTCTCCATCCAGACTGGCTACTTGATCCAAGGGAAAGGAGCCAAAAACTGCACCCTCACCTACCTGGCGCAGGTAGACCCCAAAGGTGAGTCAGCCTCACTTGCATCAAACATATCCGTGTTGCCCTCTCATTCCGTACGACTTAGAACGCGCCTACACTGTCGTATTAACCTGGTTTGATATCCGTTTAACTGCCATGGCTCAATGCTATAGAACAGACCTGGGCAAACTTGGGCCCTCCAGGTGTTTTGGACTTCAACTCCCACAATTCCTAACAGCCTACTGGCTGTTAGGAATTGTGGGAGTTGAAGTCCAAAATACCTGGAGGGCTGGCTGTTAGGAATTGTGGGAGTTGAAGTCCAAAACACCTGGAGGGCTGACTGTTAGGAATTGTGAGAGCTGAAGTCCAAAACACCTGGAGAGCCCAACTTTTCCAATGCCTGCTATAGTATCCTGGGCAGAGAATGCTCAAAACCTTGCAAAACTACAACTCCCCAGATTGCATATCATTGACACATGGCAGTTAAAGTGAGGTTGGATTGCAATGCCCTTTATTCCCCCTTTACACCGTTTGTAAAACCCGCTTTCTCTTTCGTGCAGGGTCTTTGCCAAAATGGGTAGTGAATAAATTGTCTCAGTTCCTGGCACCGAAGGTGAGTCTGGTCTCGGCTTTGCTCCTTTTCCTCCCTCTCGTCTACACTGTGCAGCATTAATGCAGTTTGACATCGCTTTACATGCTCTGGTTCAATGCTACGGGATCCTGGGAGTTGCATTTTTGGGCACTTTGTGGCAGTGTAGAGTCATGCTCCACTTTGGGAGGAAAAACAAAATGCAAAGAGACAGAATGGGGGACAATGAGGCCTGGCTCGAGAGCAGTATGTGTGAAAAAGATCTTGGAGTCCTCGGAATGTGATGTGGCGGCAAAAAAAGCCAATGGGATTTTGGCCTGCATCAATAGGAGCCTAGTGTCTAGATCTAGGGAAGTCCTGCTCCCCATGCTCTATTCTGCCTTGGTTCGACCACACCTGGAATATTGTGTCCAATTCTGGGCGCCACAATTCAAGAGAGATATTGAGAAGCTGGAATGTGTCCAGAGGAGGG